GTCAGAAATTTCTTCAGAGTTTTTGAATATTGGAACCACAGATACCATTTTCCAACAAGCAGGAAAACAAGACACAGTCAAACACTTGTTAAATAGTTTAGAGAGAATTGAAGAAACTTCTGGAGAACAATTCTGCAAAACTGTGACAGGAATGTTGTCTGGACCACAGACAACATTCCTGTAGACGAGTTTAATTGAGATATGACTTTAGCAACAGAAGCCGGAGTGATTTGAATGTCTAACAATGGGTTAACCTGTTTGACTGGAATCGAAGGAAGAGAATGTTCATAAGATTCAAGAGTGGAATTAGAAGAAAAGTTCTTTGCAAATAGTTCTGCCTTATCCTTGGGAGAGGTAATAAGATCACTCCCATGAATGAGAGATGGAATGTTAGATCTACCCTTGTTAATAATGCTGTTAAAGACTTTCCAAAAGTCTTTAGAGTATAACTTCTGCGATATGATGCGAGATTTAGTGAACTGAGAATAATGGAGTTTAGCATCAGAAAGCACCTTTTTACATCGATTTCTTGCAATAATAAATAGTCGTTTGTTCTCAAGAGAGTTGTTCTTTTGAAAAAGATGAAAAAAATGATTACGATTGGATATAGCAGCCGCACAAGAAGGAGAAAACCATGGAGTAGAATGAAGCTTGACTTGAAACCGACGAGAAGGAATAAAAGCTTCCATTCCAGCCTGAATCCAGGAGATTACGTAGGAGGCGCATTTGTCAGCTGAGAGAGAAAAAACATTAGCCCAAGGACCATCATGAAGAAAATCACGAAAGGAAACCCAGTCAGCTTTAGGGTAGTAGTAGGTGGTGCAATGATAAGGTGAGCCCAAAAAAGAAGTATGAGAAGAAAGATTTATAGAGATCATTGCATGGTCAGAACCACCTAAGGGAGAAAAGGGAGAAACTGAACATAAGCTAGGGTCAGAGACAAGAAAAAAGTCAAGGAGTGAAGGTAAATGATTAGGGTTGTCAGGAAAACGAGTCACAAAGTTAACTATCTGAGTAAGAGATTGAGAAATGCAGAAGTATATGTATATATATATATATATATATATATATATATATATATATATATATATATATATATATATATCAAATGCCCTTCCTTTTAACAGGTATACCTATTAAAATTATTAAACTTGGAATGGTACCCCTAAATTCAGAGAAATTAAGTCCGTCCTCTGATAGGCCCTTTGTTCATGATTTTATGTAATCAAGTAGTCTAATCCATTTGATCGACATTAAGACTAAAATACCAACCAGAAAGAGTCATATACTACAAAAATTCTATAGAATTCTCATTTAATAAGTGCAATTTTTATACCTGCAAATCTGCATTAATTTAAACAGCATAAATATGAATCTTTTGTAAGGGCGATGTAGTTGCAAAATAATATAAGTGTAAAGTGCAAGCATAAGTGCAAACATGTATAAGTGCGGTTCGGTTTGTAGTGCTCCAAAATTGTGCACCTCTTTATATTAAATAAATAAAACAAAATGAGTATACTGTCTAGCGACGGATCAAGGAATTTTTGTAGGCAAAAGTGTCTGCCCTACCCTTCCCCCCCCATCTGTTATTAGGGCCTCAAATTCTAAAAAACCTTTTCATGGTCGTATATGAGCACTATGTTTAGGTGCACATGTGTTAGAAGCTTATAGAAATTTCAGCGATTTTAAAATGGCTGCAGTTCTTAGCTACATAATCTTTTTTATATGAAAACTGTTTTTTTTTAGTTTGTTTTTGTAAAAATTAATGTTGCAACCATATTATTGATCTAACTCAATAAATAAATATCATTTTTTTTAGTAAATAAATAAGCTAAAAAACATTTTAAAATGTTTTAATTTGTATTTTGGCTAAAACTTTTATTTGCAAATGACACAAACCTCCTCTATTTTAATAAGTTTATTAAAAAAATCAACAAATATGTTAACTACGTCCTTAAAAAACAATCCAACTGGCTAAACATTAACAAAATTGACCTTTACTCCAAAAACACTTATTTAATATTATTTAAAAGTTGTCACAAAAAATTAGGCCAGCAGCTCAAAATTAAGTTAAATTGGAAAATGTTTTGGTGGAAAAAATTTGATAACTACTTGGGTTTAAAGCTAGACAAAAATTTAGCCTGGACTTACCATTATAACGATATCTCTAATAAGTTGAATAGATCCCTTGCCATTATGTCAAAGCTAAAACATTTCATTCAACAAAAAACTTTAAAATCTATTTACTATGCTTTATTTGACTTTCACCTCATATATTGTATTTTGTCATGAAGTCATAAGTATTGTGAACTGCCTATGTATCATGCAGAAAAAAGCAGTCAAGACTATTGAATTTCTACCAAAAAATTTCCATACATTCACATCTTTTAATGCAATACAAATTTTGAAAGTACATGATATAATAAAAATTGAAAATTGTTTATTTATTCGAAGCTACCTTAACAAAAAGCTACCTCCTAAATTTAATAAATAGTCTACTTAGCACAGTGCAATTAGCTGTCAACTTACAAGAGATTCTTGTAGAGGTGCACTGAGTGTGCAAACATATAATACAAAATCCTACAGTAAACATTCTTTTAAATATTCTGCATTAATGGACTGGAATCAAATTCAAAATAATTTTATTATATATATATATATATATATATATATATATATATATATATATATATATATATATACACATTTATTTTTTGATTAATATTTTAATCTCTTATGCATATATTTTTACATTATTTAGATTTCCTTTTTAATACTCTATAGTTGCAATATATTCTTTTTTCTTTTTCTCAAGATTGGTTTAAGCTTTCTGTTAGTTTATAACGTTAGTTTTTGATGGTATGATTTAAGCTTTCTGTTAATTTACAATGTTAGTTTTTGATGGCATGGTTTAAGCTTTCTGTTAATTTATAACGTTAGTTTTTGATGGTATGATTTAAGTTTTCTGTTAGTTTATAACGCTAGTTTTTGATGGTATGGTTTAAGCTTTCTGTTAATTTACAATGTTAGTTTTTGATGGCATGGTTTAAGCTTTCTGTTAATTTATAACGTTAGTTTTTGATGGTATGGTTTAAGCTTTCTGTTAGTTTATAACGTTAGTTTTTGATGGTATGGTTTAAACTTTCTGTTATTTTATAATGTTAGTTTTTAATGGTATGGCTTAAGCTTTGTGTTAGTTTATAACGTTAGTTTTTGATGGTATGGTTTAAGCTTTCTGTTAGTTTATAACGTTAGTTTTGATGGTATGATTTAAGCTTTCTGTTAGTTTATAACTTTAGTTTTTGATGGTATGATTTAAGCTTTATGTTAGTTTATAACGTTAGTTTTTGATGGTATGATTTAAGCTTTATGTTAGTTTATAACGTTAATGATTTAAGCTTTCTGTTAGTTTTTGATGATTAAAGAATACTCTTTAAGCTTAAATCAAGAACAAAATTTCTAATTTTAAGAATAAAAATTCTTGAAACAAGAAAAAATATTCTTACGTCGTGGACAAATTTTTTTTTCTCGTTTTAAGACTTTTTTTGCTTAAAACAAGAATCGCAGATTTTGCTATTTAAAATAAAGAACATCCTTTCTTGTTTCCATTTTTGTCAGTTTGATGAACACATAGTTTGTTTTGTCAGAGATAACTTTTGAGAATTAATAAAAATATATTAGCTTTTTTTCTTCAAAGTTTTTTTTTGAAGACAATTTTGTCACAGAACATCGCAAAAGGACATTTAACCAAAACATTCAGACAACCTTCTTTATCAATGTTGCTTATTTAACCATATTGAACTTTGGACCTCCAGTTGTAGAGACAGAATTCTAACTACTGCATCATCACTGCATCATCACTCAACTACTGCATCATCACTCAACCACTACATCATCACTGCTTAAGTTGTTCATCCCTAATTTTTGACATAGTATGCATAAAAGACAATAATAAAGAAGAACTTACAGTTAAATATTTGTAACATAAATAAATTAAAACAAAATAAAACAAAAATTTTTTAGCTTATAATAAAAAACTAATCTTAGTGATGTGTTTAATGATATAAGACCTTATCTGAGTAATGTATTTAACAATGTTTGTAAAAACGTGTTTATTTATTATCCAAGTAACATATTTAATGATGTCTGTAATAACGTGTTTGCTTTTTATCTGAGTAATGTCTTTACTGATGTTTTTAATAACTTGTTTGCTTAATAACCAAGTAACATATTTAATGTTTTTAATAACTGGTTTTACTTGTTATAGTGATACCAATTTATTATTTAAGTATATCTAAAATGCAAAAAAAATATTACAGATGAAAAAATAAGAAAATTTTTGTACCCTGTTTAAAAAAAACAAAAAAAAAACAGAAGTTTTGATTTTTGCATTGACAAAATGGTTTTTAAACTACAATGTTCAGGTTGAAACACAATGTGTGGTATGGTGTCCTTAATTTTTATAAAGTGTCTATACATGCTACTTAAATGTGTTCTATACATTAAAATAACACTAGATTTATAAATAAAAAATATTTTCAGGGGTCCCCGAAGACCCTTGAATAACATTTAAGAAGACCTTGCAAAAGATTTTGAGTAAAACATTTACAACACATTTTAACACCTGTTCTAAAAATTATCCTGAAAAGTAATTATAAAGGTCAAACTTAAGCTATAAATATGTATACTAAAAAAAGATGTAACAGTACTCATATACACACATATTATTCATGCACATAATGTTATAAGGTACAATATACTATTATAAGGTAAAATTTACTATTATAAGGTACAGTTTACTATCATAAGGTACAATATACTATTATAAGGAACAATATACTATTATAAGGTACAGTATACTATATAAGGTACAGTATACTATTACAAAGTACAATATATATTACAAGGTTCAATATACTATTATAAGAAACAATAATAATCAACTTTTAAACTTAATATTAATAACAAAAACATTAAAAAATAACTTAAAAAATGCTAACCCATTCATAGAACATTGAATATCAAGTAAACGAAGTTCAAGGGCTTCAATTGCTAACTCATCAGGGATTACATAACCTTTTAATAAACAATTTTGCATTTTACGAACAAGTTCAGTCTTTGAGTGACTGACTAAAATGTGACGCATAGCCTCTCCTATAGACAATCGTACCAGACCAAGTTCTTTGACAAAGCGATTAGCAACTACAAATTATAATATAGCTACAAAAATTATGTTTTGCGTTGTTTTTAATATAATTTATTTTTAACAATTTTTTTAATTTAACTTTATTTCATGTTTTTTAATCAAATTAAAAATAAGTTAAATTAAAAAAATATGATAAATTATCAAAATTTACGAGTAGTTTTTCCTGATTTTGGAGGACCCAATACAGCAATTTTTACAGGTACAAAATGTTTCGGAGATTTTGCAGTGAGAAACTGCTTTGGGTTTTCAATAAAACATTCAGATGCTTCTTTTGATGATAAAAAGTATATAAAATGGCGATAAGCAACAGGAAATTTTTCTCTTTCACTTTTATGAACAGGCATTAATGTCTCATTGTCATACAGCTAAAGAGTTTATAACTTTTAAAAATTAAAAATATAAAATTATTTTTAAAAATTAAAAATATAAAATTATATTTTATTAAGATCATTATTGTGTTACAATTAAATCAGCAAAAACAACAACAACAACTAAAGAAATAAAACAAATAACCTTAACAGGACACCACTTTCCAAATCTGCTAAGTTTTTTATATCCTTGTTTTAACAGGTTTTTAGCAACAGTTGGTTTTAAAATTTGGCATTTATCAAAAAAACAATTTCGACACAAAAGGTGTTTTTTAAGCAATTTTGTGAGACAATATTGAACAATTTGAGGTTTGCGTGATGAATCTACATCAAAAGTATAAATCAATTCTTCATCAAAGGCTTCCTAAAAAAGTAATTAAAACAAGTATAATAAAGAATTATCAAAAAAGAAACTAAAAATATTTTTATAAAGTTTTAAACAAAACCTTTAGCTCAGTTATTAAACTTGATTCATCATTATATTTATCTACTAATTCAGATTTTATCTTATTAATAGCATCTTCTTCAGTTTCATTATCTTCTTCATCTTCCTCATCATCTTCTCCAAATTCTTCTATTAATTCAAGTTCTATAATGTCGTCGATGTTACTTTCATCTTCACCTTCATCTACTTCAGATTCTTCATCTTCGTTATTGCGGGATGTATTCTAATAATTATAGTATGACGCCAAAAAAATGATAATGAAAAAATTGACATATTTATAAGATTGCATCAAATTGCAAAATATTAAGTATATGTTATAAACTTCCAAAAATGAATTCAATGCTTAAATATGTAAGTATAATGTAAATTGGTATGTATAATGTAAAATTTGTTATTTTATTTTTTTATTCTGATTCACTCCTAACAAGGTTGCAAACAACCACTATTAAGTTGGGAGTTACTAAAAAAAAAAGAATAGAGTTAAAGAGCAAGAGAAGGGTTGACAAAAGGAAATGGCAAGCATGATAAACAGTAGAAACCTTAGCAGATAATTTAGCAATTGATTGTATATAGGGTTTTCATGAAAGGTCAGTAGTAATGCGGTAGTGGTGTAGTGGTAAGAACGCTCCCTTTGTAAGCAAGAGGTTTGGAGTTCGACTCCCACCATGTCCCTGGAAGTACCGCGCTCAACTTAATTTCTCCGCGCAGCGGCCTTGCCTGTCAAGGTTTGTGTTTCAGAGTTAAAGAATTGAGAGAGGGTTGTACCACAATTTACAACAAAAAAAAAAAAAAAAAAAGTAGTAGCCTCCTCGACTGTAGTGGCTCCCTCGGGCCTTGGGGAGGTGAATAATTAAAAAAAAAAAAAAAAAAGATAATCCAAGAAGATGTGAAGAAGACTCAGTGAGACAGTTGCCATTCATTAATATAAGAACATTGACAAGACTGTGATAGTTATTTGCAGTAAATAACTGAGTTTTGTTGGAGTTAAAATTTACAAGCCACTGTGAGCCCCAATCTGTTACAGAAGTGAGATCAGACTCAAGATCGGCTGCCTATTATAAGTGATCAAAAAGAAAAGACTTATTGTTAAGACAGGAGTATAAACTTGAGTCATCAGCAAAAAGAGCTACTTTAGATGTAAGGTTTTTGATAAGATCATTAATATAGATTAAAAACAAAATAGGAACAAGGATTGAACCTTGAGGTACTCTAGAAGTTACTGGAAATAAAGAAGAGTGTTGGCCTTTAAGAATGACTATAATAAAGTGGTTAGAAAGAAATGATTTGATAATCTCAAAAACTTTCCCAAATACACCATATGAAACAAGCTTATAGAGAAGACCAAGATGCCAAACTTTGTTAAAACCCTTAGATATGTCAATAGCAATAGCCCTAGCCTCTCTGCCACCATCTAATGCACAATAAAATCTTTCAGTCACAGCAGTAAGCAAGTCAGCCGTAGAGCAAGAGGATTGAGAATTTATTGATTGTCTGACAGCAAGTTATTTGAAAATGGGATGTGAGAAATTTGTTTATCAAAGACTCAAAGACCTTTCTAATAACAGAAAGAAGACTAATTGGACAATAATTGGAGGGGTCAGAATTTTCACTGAATTTTTTGAAAATTGAAACAACAGATGCCATTTTCCAGTAGGCAGGAAAACAAAAGTCAGTCAAGCACTTATTAAATAGTTTAGAGAAAATTAAAGAGAGTTCAAAAGATATTTTGTAAGACTGTGACAGGAATGTTGTCATGGACCACAAGCCGTAGAAAATTTTAGTCAAGACTTTAGCAACAGAAGCTGGAGTGATTTGAATGTCTAACAATGGGTTAACCTTAGCAACAGAAACTGGAGTGATTTGAATGTTTAACAATGGGTTAACCTTAGCAACAGAAGCTGGAGTGATTTGAATGTCTAACAATGGGTTAACATATTTATTGGAATGGAAGGAAGAGAATGGCCATAAGATTCGAGAGTCAAATTAAAGAAAAGTATTTTGCAAATAGTTCAGCCTTATCCTTGGGAGAGGTAATAAGATCAGTCCCATGAATGAGAGATGGAATGTTGGACCTTCCTTTGTTAATAACGCTGTTGAAGATTTTCAAAAAGTCTCTAGAGCCTAACTTCTGAGATAAGATACAAGATTTAGTGAACTGAGAATAATGGACCTTAGCATCTGAACACACCTTTTTACATCGATTTGTTGCAATAATAAGCTGTTTGCTCTCAATAGAGTTGTTCTTTTGAAAAAGATTTAAAAAATGATTACGACTAGATATAGCAGCTGCACAAGAGGGTGAAAACCATTGAGTAGAATGAGGCTTGACTTAAAACCAACAAGAACAAAAATAAAGGCATCCATTCCTGCCTGAATCCAGGAGGTTATGTAGGAAGCACATTTATCAGCTGAGAGGAAAAAGGTATCAGTGCAAGGACTGTAACAAAGAAAATCTTGAAAAGAGTTCCAATCAGCTTTAGGGTAGAAGTAAGTAGTGTGATGAAAGGGTGACTCCAAAAATATAGTACAAGATGAAAGATTTAAAGAAATCATTGCATGATCAGAACCACCTAAAGGAGAAAAAGGAGAAATGGAACACAAGCTAGGATCAGAGACCAGACATAAATCAAGGAGAGAAGGTAAATGATTAGGGTTGTCAGGAAAACAAGTCACAAATTGCTATGTATAATGTAAATTGGTATGTATAAAGTAATCTGGTATGTATAATGTAAAATTATTTCATAAAATAACTTCTTTTATTTAATTTTTAAAAACAGTTGTGCAAGCATTTTTATGACTAACCAATTTTTGTGATCGCAAATCTTCTCTCTCAGCTAAAATTTCCTTTCTACGAAGAATCCTCTTTTCCTCCTGCAATGTAAGTGCAAAATAAATAAAATTTTATGTTGATTTAAAAAAATTCAAACTTAAAGCATTTAAATCTAATTGCAAACTTCATTCTATTAACATAAAATTAATTACACAATACAAACACTTGAGCTGTAACAAAGAAATAATTTTAAAAGCATTTGTGTTACTTGAGCTGTAACAAAGAAATAATTTTACAAGCATTTGTGTTACTTGAGCATGCTGTAACAAAGAAATAATTTTACACATTATTAATTCTAAATTTTCTTAGACATTAAAATATCTTTTAAATTTAGATTTTAATTTCAAATGATCTTTGGTAAATATTCCCAACTCTTATTTCAATCAATATAAAATAAAGCAAATTTATTCCCCTAAGTACGTACCAAGTTAAGTATGCACCAGAACATGATTCTTAAACTTTTGTGGCAACTTCTGAAGTATTATAAAATGGAATATCACAAGGATTAACTAAAAATTATTTTTGTACATCATTTTTACGAGGTGCAAAAAAAGCGATTTCTCTATGCCTTTAATTTTACAGTTTTGAAAGTGTCACATTTAAAACATGGTCTAAATAGCTTAATTGAATTATAAAACCTTGAAACAATTTTAATAATAGTTTGTAAATTGAAACAAAATAATTTGTCTTTCATATCATTAAAGTTTATATCTTTTGAATTCAATGACTGATAACATGTTGATTAAATCATGTATATCAACATCTTCTCTGCCAAGTTGCATAAATTGCTGATTAGTTTCCTTTTTTTGAAAATTCTGTTGCCATATCTGATCTTGGTGTTTTAATAATACTTTTCTGCTTAGAATGACACTTTAAATATGTGATCATACGAGAATAGCTTGTTTTATGAACTATTATTTTTAAGTAATGTTTTAACATTTTCTATTTGTTAATAGCTATTCATATTTTTTTAAATGCTTTCCAGCAACTTTTCTAAATTTTATTGTTTAATGACTTGTTATCCTTTTGATTTTATTCATATAAGTATTTTTAAGTCTCTCAAATTTGGTTGCTTGTTATACCTGGTCAAAACTAGGTGCTTCAAAAAGGTTTCACAGTTATAAAACTGCCCATTTAACATTTTTAACTGTTGTAAAACTGACCATTTAACATTTCACAGTTATAAAACTGCTTATTTAAAATTTTTCATGACATTCATATTATTAATATTTTGCCTAACAGCAACTGAAAAATAATTTTACAATATACTCACTGGTTTAATAGAATGCCTTTACCTCATCTTTTTTTCACAATTTGTTTTGTCCACAATTTTTTTCTCTCTGAAAGAATGCTCAAAAGTAAAATATTTAAAATTAAACTTTTTCACCATAAAATTTTAAAACATCTAGATATAATCTCATTGTATGAAGATGTATCTATCTTTTAAGTAAGATGTATATGATAATGAATGCTTTTTAAAAGATCTCAACTACTAGCTTTTACAGACTCTTTTCTTCTTAGGCTGCCATGTGATTTATTTGACAGTCACATTTCATTATAAATAAATTCCAATTTAAAATTCAAACATTTATTGCATTTATTGTTTTATTTTTTTTTCTGTGCCGTCAGAATTTTGAAGATTTCACACAAAAGTTCTACTAAAAAATTTTTTAAATCATAAAATCCATTTCTCAAGAATCAAATTAGAATTCATTAACATAAGAATGCCGGTGATACCTTTGAAAATAGAAAATTTTGTTACAAAATTAAATTTATTGCTTGGAACATCTATAAATGTTTAGATACTTATAATTACATCATAGAAACGATGTCAGTTCATGTACTTCTAAAAAAGGTAGAGATCTCTCGCAAACAAAATTACTAAAACACTTCTAATTCAAATAAAGTCACAGAGCTTTAAAACTAATTAAAAAATAATTTAACTAGTGTCATCATCAAACTACTGTGTCACTAGCAAACTGGTGTGTCACTAGCAAAATGGTGCGTAACCATCAAACTAGTGTATCAACATCAACCTACGGTATGTTATGTTTTCCCCTGAAAAAAATGATTACTAAATGAGAAATGATTAACTGCCAAAGGATTTAGAGCGTATGTATTAAAATACTATTTTAAAAAACTTTTATATATGTAAGGGTGTATTAAACATATTTGTAAAGGTGTATTAAACATGAATTTAACCAAAAAAAGATGTTTTAGGTGTCAAACAATGAATGAAAGTTTGTTAAAAAAAATTAATAGTACTTTTAGTTTTTCTATTTCTGCTTTTTTTTGCTGTTTCTTTTTCATTTTTACATCATTCTGCTTCTTCCATCGACTGATAATAGATGGTGAAAGTCTGTTATAAATATCTTCATCCTTTACATTAAGAAATAAAGCACCATCAGGAAATAAACCTGATTCAGTTAAGTAATTAACTTCTTCTGGTAATCTCGGAAATCCTTCTAAAATGAATCCTTTTGATCTAAAAAAAAGTCAGAAATCTTTTTTTTAAATCAAAATAAGTCTATAAAACAGAAACCACTAACATGGAATAAATGAAATGTAAAATTTAAAATAAAACAAACTTGAATGGCTCTTCCTTCCACCATGGTACTAAGATTGCATCCAATGTTTCTTTTGTGAGTGGTTCACCTTCAATGATATTATTGTAGATGTTTTTTTCAAACGGGTTCAAATCAAAAACTTCAGCTCTTTTCTCCTCACTTTCAACTAAATTATTTTAAAAAAATGTAAAAGCTGAGACTAAAGAAAATTGGCACAAGCTGTTTCAAAAACACTTATCACTTTAGTTCTCAGTCACGTATATTTGAAACTTTAAAAGAGTTATATTTAACAAAAAAAACTACCTTTATTTTCTTCATTTTCATATAGATGCTGAAAATCTGGTCCCACTTTTTTCAATGTCTTATGAATAATTAGCTCTTGAAGGCGATCTTTAAACGAAATATGCAAAAGTCCATACTTACTAGCAAGCAACCTTCCTTGAAGCGATTTACCAGATCCTTTAGGGCCAAGCAACATAAAGCGAATGGCTGGGATCTTCAAAATATAAATTATAAATTTCATAAAATTCCATAAAAGAAGGCAAACAAATTATAAATATATTGTAAACCCTTTTGTTTCATTTTATAAATATACTTTTTTTTTAAAATTTTAAATACAAATTTGTCGCTTTTATTCAATCAACACCCACTACACCCACAATAATGAAAGAGTTTTTTTTCTTTCTTTTCTTTAAAATCCCTTTGAGTTATTTGATTTTTAAGTAAAAAAATTGGATGAACAAGGCCATGAAATATAAAGTTTTATGAAAAAGTTGAATGTAAAAGAAAAACATTCTTATAATTTATGCTTGTGTTTGACTTATCAAGATAAAAAAAAGAAAAGATTAGTACTTATATTTATACCTTGAACTTTTCAGTTTGTGGCAAAAACAGTTCTGGGTTTTGCATAAATTGATCTTGAGCATCTGCATTCGAGAGAAAGTAAACTTTTTCTCTATATTTAACTGCAAAATCATTAGATCCTGGCCAAAGAACATCATTTTCTTTTAACTTCACTGGACAGAAATGTAGTGTTTCACCTAAAGGCTTTTTTTTGTTGCGATCATTACTTTCATCTTCATCTTCAACTTCTTCATTAGTAGCAGCATAATCATCCTCTTCTTCTTCTTCATCAAACTCATTATACTTCCAAGGATGATATTGAAAAGCAGCTAATAAAAACCTCTCTATTTACTTACCTTTTATGTAATGAGTAATTATAAATTGATTGATTTAAACTCACTACTAAGCAACATTTTTATTTACCTTCTATGTTTTTTATTGATAATCTAAATGCATCTTGCTCTGAAATGTTGGTTGGGATGATCATTACCTCAACAGCATTGTGAGATGAAATAGCAGATTGAATACTTTGCCAACTTTGAGTGAACTCAGATATAGAATCTTTATATTTCTTTAAATTGATTTCATCTTGCTCACTTAGCGAAGCTTTGTTTTTACCTTAAATATTCATTCTTTTTCAACATTTAAGAAAATACAAAAAACACACTAAAAAATTAGTACAAACTTAAAAAAAATATATACACACTGAAAAGTAATAAAAGTTAAAAAAAATATATACACAGTGCAATACCCTTAGTAAGATATAGTTATATACCTACTGAGGAAAAAATTTATATTAAAAACAATGATTTATCATACAATTTTCTACCTTAAGGGTATAATTTTCTTATAAGGTAAAAAACTATACCTTACTAAGAGTATATCACATATCTTACCCTTAAGTAGAAATTTCTACCTTTTTTTTTGGTGTTGATATGTATAGATAATAATATATCAACATGATAATAACTATGATGCCAATGATGATGTGGATGATGATAATCATGTGGATGATGATAATCATGTGGATGATGAGAATCATGTGGATGATGATAATCATGCGGATGATGATAATCATGTGGATGATGATAATCATATGGATGATGATAATCATGTGGATGATGATAATCATGCGGATAATGATAATCATGTGGATGATGATAATCATGTGGATGATGATAATCATGTGGATGATGATGATGATGATGATGTGGATGATAATGATGAAAACTTATGTTGCAACTTGGAGTAAAAGGCCAACTAGTTTTATTATTTTATTACCTTTACAGTAAATATTATTCCATCGCTCAACTAGAACAGGTGCATTGCTGTCTTCATTAAAAACAAACATATTATCAATAGCTATATCCCTTTCTACCATATTGTTAAACTGATCTCTAGTTTGTGGATAGTTATCCAATATCCAACCTGAATGTCTAAAACAGTAAAAACATTTAAAATCTGATTAAAATTTATACAAGACTATACATATATATATATATATATATATATATATATATATATATATATATATATATATATATATATATATATATATATATATATATATATATATATATATATATATATATATATATATATACCCCTCAGAATTAGGAAATATGAGGTTGGTAATAAATCTTAAACTCTTAGAGGTCACCATTAGATCAGCAAAAAAATTTGACACAAAGGGGTTACCATAAAACGTTTTTTGCCAACCTCAAATACTTTAAGGCTGGAAGTTAGGTCAGCATTGTCGAATGCCAACCCTAATTTTGAGGGCTGTATAAATAAATATATATATATATATATATATATATATATATATATATATATATATATATATATATATATATATACACAAAGTATCACTCTACCTGTAATCTTTATTTGTGTCTTTGAAAGCAGCAATTAGAGCTTCTTCAATACAATCAACATACTCTTTGGGAGATAACTCTATTTCTCCTATTTTTGCATCCACCTCCTCTATTACCTATCACAACAGCGTTTAACTTTTACTCATAAAAAAAAGTGCAACATAAATACACAAATAAAAATTGTTACCTGTGGATGGTTTTCATTAATATCAATTTCATTGACAAGTAATTGTTTATCTTCATTTGCTAAAAAAAGCCTATCAGCTAAACTTTTAAGTCATAATTTTATAATTTATAATTTATAACAATTTGTTGAAGGAAAAAGGAAAATTGTTATAAATTTTACATTTATAGCAATTTTCCTTGCACTTCAATCCTATAAAACTTTTGCCCATCTTCATGCTTTCCTAATTCATACAACCTACAACTTTTCAAGTCTTCTGTCAATGCTTCCTTGTTCTCTGACTCTATTTTTCGTTTTCCAGTAGCCTTTTCATTCTCTGTTTTCCAGTAGCCTTTTCATTCTCCGTTTTCCAGTAGCCTTTTTTCAGTAAATTTGATTAAAATAATATATACAAATTTTGTTTATAGTTCTTTATACAAATATTCCAGTAATTTTAATTCCTTAAAAAAGTTTTTGTTTTTAATTTTTAAAAAATAACTTATTATAACTTACATTTGACTTATTAAATCTGGTCTTACTTAAATAGTTTTTTGTATTATTTGTTTAATAAAACAACATTTTAAAACAACATTTTAAAAGTTAAAACTGTCTAATGATGGTTAGGACCAATAAAAGAATTATCAACTTTTGATATGCATAAGTTAATAATTTGTTGAAGTTTCTTTTCTAACAACTTTTTTTTTATGTAAAAACTTATTTTTATTTTGTAAAATACTAAATGACTTATAATATCAGCGTTTAAAAGTAAAATTTTAACATATGGATGGCAAAATTTAAATGAAAGTTAGTCATTGCAAACATATACTATTATTTAAGAAGTTTTAAAAGACATGACATCATACTTGAACTTTCAGTATCAACAAGAGTATCTCTTTTAGCTAAGTCCTCTGAACCTTTCACTTTAATTATAGCTTCTTCAAGTAACTTTGGCAACCGCTCATCTTGTAACTTTTTCAAGCGCCCTTTTACAAAACTCTCTACATTGATCACCTTTAAAATTGAAACAAAAATAATGTGCGCTGGTATTTAATTATCTCTATTTTCTAACAACAAAAGAAACTTACCTGAATTTTGTACTGATTAGCTAAATTATTACAAAGGGTTGTTGTTCCTGAAAGAGGAGGTCCTAAGACAACTATTTTGTACGGTGATAACATGTGTTGTAAAGGAACAATAAACTGACGCGGAGATGTCATAAATTTAAAAACAGCTTCATTAGATGAGAGCAAGTACATCTTATCTAAAAAGCTAGAAATAAAAGATTTGAATTTATTTGCTTTATATTTATATACTTTTTAAATAAATATAGTTATATATAGAGTATCAATACATAATATATATTTATATATTATAGATATTGTTATAAACAAATTAGTATATATTTATATATTAACAATATCTATAATATATATTTATATAATAGATATTGTTATAAACAAATTAGTTGTGATATTTAAATAACAAACATTACAACAAACACTGTTAGTGATATTTACCAGTAATTCTAGTTTTTTTTTCTGCAAACATTAGTCTCTTCAAACAATCAAGTATTTTTTTAACTGTTTTTTTAGTTTTTTTATTTTCTAGCCCCAGCTTAAACAGCAGTTGTTACAGCATTGTTGAAAATATATTTTGTATTATATTAGGTTAACATATATATATATATATATATATATATATATATATATATATATATATATATATATATATATATATATATATATATATATATATATATATATATATATATATTTCACATATTAACAATTTTTGATTTATTATCCCTATTATGTTGTCGGTAAGTAAAAAAAAAGTTAGATTACATCTAAATTTCTATGTGAAAAAAGGAGTCACAAGAGGTAAACCAGGTATGTCCAAATGATTCAAGGGGTAAATTGGAGATTTCCATGCTGTATAGGAGCATTTTTTACAACTATTTGTGTAACATCCAATCAAATTTTATTATACCAAAAAAAAAGACTTTATCATCATAAAAATGACAGATAAATGTCAAAATCCATTTAGTACAGAAATTCCAAAAAAAAAGAAAAAAACTTGGTCGAAAGTGGTAACGAGATTGAAATGAACAATTATCTTTGCACATATTGGGCTTTCCGTGTAATTGCAAGCATTATATGTATTTTCAAAATACGACAGCAGGAGAGTATATACTTTTGTACTTTAACAAAATGCAAAATAAAAAACAACGAAACAGCTTTATTGTTTCAATGATTGAAGTTTTAAATGAAGAAGACCTCCACGAAAAAAAAAAAAAATTTCTTTATGACCACTCATTCTCTTATAACATTAAAGTGACATGAAATAATAATACTGTTAAAGTTCCAGTTTGTATCAGTTGCTATTTCATCAATTTTTGGAATAGGATCATCAAAATCAAGAATAGAAAGAATAAGAGGATCACTTGCTAAGACAAAAGAAATAACATTTTTTATTATTTATTTACTAATTAGTCATTTAAATAAAATACATAATGCACAAATGTGTTTTAACAAAGTTATTCTCTCAAAAGTAACAACAAAAAAAAAGACTTTATATGAGCTTGAAAGATAGTAGTTTGGTTTAGTTAAGGTAATAAAATATTATAAAGCTTATAAATTTGATTAGTTTTAAGGAGATTCTCCTAAAATCCAGCAAGGAAAACAAACAAACTGACCTCCAGCCTTTTCAGACCATATTGTAAATAGTTTTTATCTTTTAAAGGACAAAAATGTCATTATGCATTACATGACACTAAAAAGCTGTATTTACCAAAGGATTTGTCAAAAATGTATGATGTGTACATAGTGTTTCCACAAAATAAAGTTTGTCAAGAAAGCTACAGGTACTTTAATAATGTGTGATTATTTAAGAATATTATTGGATATTATCTAATTTTCTACTTTCTTTTTTTTACTCAGAAAATATTTGTGGAAAAGTATAACATTTGCTTTGGTTATCTTTTTAAAGATACATGCTCAACTTGTGACAAGGTTAATATTATATTTAAAAACTAAACCACCTCTGTAGAACAACTCATCAAGAGTTGTCAAGAAAAAGAGTTTCACTTATGGAAAGCAGAGGTGTTTTATGCCAGAAAGAAAGAAGCACAATGTAACGCAAAAACTGGCCAAGCAGCTCTTGCATTTGACTTTACTAAAAATATGAGTTTTCCTAACGTTTCTACAAACAATATTTATTATTGTAGACACTTTCTATGTACTTACTGCTTAGGATTAAATAATGTTCACTTATTTTGTTACAATAAAACTTACAGGGCAAAATAAGAATTGGACTATTATTCGTTTTTTACACTTTATTGTGGTGATTAAGAAACAATTTCAACAAATCATACTATGGTTCCCAATTAGGAGCCACAGCTACACGGAGTGTGATTGAGATATGGTATTAGTTAACCAAAAGGTTTCAGCAGAGGTACCAATAAATTGGGTGGAAGAATTTTGTATGTGTCGTAAGAAACCTTTATCTTTTGAAGATATTAAGATAGAGTTGAACATGTTCCTAAATTTTTCTGAACATATCAAACCATTTTACAGAGCCAAATGTCTGATACCAACATGCCCTATTCTTGAAATTATTTTCCCACAAGAATTTCCTACAATACAGTTACAATACAGACTCAGTTGGAATGGAAAGAGTTGTCATATCAAAAGCTTTTGGAAAAAGAAGTAATTATCACAAAAACCCCTTACATGCTTGTACAATTAGAGACTGCCAATCAGCTGTGCTGACCTTCAGATTTTAAAACATTTTTGCATGCCTGATGCCCAGCAATTTTTTAATGATCTGCCTCACAAAGGTCAGTTAAGTGATAATGAATCAGTACCAGAGTTTTCTGAACTTGAGTGTATTTAAATTAAAAAACAGGTATTGATTAAAGGAAAAAGGAAATTTACTTTAAATCCTTGGTTAATATTGTTTATAACTTATCTAGGAAATGTGATGTAAATCTAAAGTGTAAAAGTTTTTTTTGTTTTTCCGCACGTCCTCCCTGACTGTGGTTATTGTTCAAAGTTATAAAGATTTTAAATTTAACTCATAAGAAATGTATTCAAATATATTATAAGCAACATATTATGAAATCAAAATCTAGAATTACAAGGGGAAAATCAATGATGTCCAAAAGGGACACTCATTCCAGGATTCAATGAAGCATGTATAATTTTCATTCCTAAAAATATTTTCATGCTAATTTATCATGTAATAGATCATACAAATTTACAAACCTAAGATATATATATATATATATTGAACTGGAAATAACATAGTAAGATAAGTCTTCAAACTTCATTTATATATATATATATATATATATATATATATATATATATATATATATATATATATATATATATATATATATATATATATATATATATATATATATATATATATATATAAATATATATATATACATATATATATACATATACATAAATATATATATATATATATATACACATATATATAATATATATATATATATACATATACATACATACATATATATATATATATATATATATATATATATATATATATATATATATACATATATATATATATATATATATATATACATATATATATATATATATATATATATATATATATATATATATATATATATATATATATATATATATATATATATATATATATATATATATATATATATATATATATATATATATATATATATATATATATATATATATATATATATACATATATATTAGGGTTAACTTTTAAAAAAATAAATTGATGAACTTTTATTAAAAAACACTGAAAACATGTTCAATTCCTCTCGGTTGTAAAAAAAGGTCACCCCACAATTCAAATTGCATTTCGTTATTTATTTAATCTTGTTACTGCTACTACTGATATGTGTGACTTTGCTGCAAATCATTTAAAACTTGTATAGATTAGAAGTGTTTAGAACTTTAGAACATTTTGGAAAATAACAGAATATTTTAGAAGACTTTAGAACATTCTAGAAAAATTTAAAACATTCTGGAACAATTTAGAACATTCTAGAACAATTTAAAACATTTTGGAATATTCTAGAACAATTTAGAACATTCTGGAATATTCTAAAACATTTTAAACTATATATAGCTGCTTATCTAATTTTATAGTCATTACAGAAGCAACAAATGGCATCGTACAAGCCTAGCAAAAGTAGGATTTAAAAGAACAAGGATGTCTGCACCAATAATCTGGTAAAATTTGAAAACTCTCATAAAAGATAAAGAATGGTCCCTGTGGAAGAATACTCACTAGAAGAAAAGTGAAAAATGCCTCTCCAAAAGCAAACTATCGGACGCTACCATTTCCTTGGACCAAAAATCAAAGGAAGAAAGGAGCGATTAGCAAAAATTTCCACAGAAATCATCAAATTTTGAAAGAATAAACTGAATTTCCCTCATGTATCTGATAAAGTTATATGAGCAAAACTTGATAAAACACTGAAATGTTATGATGAATGTGTCAAGTGGGGAAGCTACGAACCCCTTGATGAAATTTTTGATATTACTAAAGTGGTTATCTTCCCAGGACAAGCGATTGTACTATCTCCAAGTGGAAAGCAAAGGAACAGTGGGATACTCTACAGGCTAAGTGGCCACTTAAGGAAACGTAAAAAACGTCATAAAAGCAAAATTGTAGTCTAACTTGGTAACCTCCACAAGAGTATCAACAAACAAAGCTGCTAACATATGCAAGTAATTGGCTCATGAAGTCATTGACACCCCAACTCCATGTCAATCACCTATTTACAAGTCAACAATCAAAGAGGCAACCAAGCTGAAGGAAGAAATGATTGAAAAGTTGCATATGGAAAGTTGGTCCTTACACTTTGATGGCAAATACATCGACAGAATGGATTATCAAGTGGTCGTTCTTAAAAATGAAGAGAAATCAAATTGTATGTCCTTGGCTTGGTAGATGACAGGGCTTTAACTATGCTCAAGGAATTTCTAAAGCCCTGGATGAATTTCACCTATGGAATTCAATACAGATGATTGTTGCTCATACACCAGCGTTAATACTAGAAAAAAGAATGGTGTTGTAGTAATATTGCAACAAATGTTCACAGAGAAACGCATCAACAAACCTCATTTTATCAGTTGTCACCACCATGTATTAGATAGAATCCTCCATTTGGTGATGGATGAAGAACTTGGAAGTAAAACACAATCACCAAACATCGAATATCCATTTGTATCTCAACTGTTGAAGGAGTATGAACAACTGAAAACACAGTTTGATAATGGAACAGAAGTAATTCTTGAAACATCAGGCAGGAGAGATAATATGAAACTTTTGTTTCATCTCACTCGAGTGTTTCTATCTTTAGAGGAAAAGGGCCATTTTTCATTGATCAGGTTTCAGAAAATACCCAATATCAGCAACAAAAAGGTAGAACTCCAGAGCTTTACTAGCGATCCTGGTCTTCATTTTAATTCCTTTAACAAAAACAGTTCTGCAGAGAGTACGTTGATTTATATTGTATGGCTGGGCAGACCATTGGTTTACAGACCAACTGTACAACGAAAACAACTTTAATAACTTGGCTGAAATACTGAATCCATACAAAAAGGCTTTAAGCTCTTTGAAAAATCACTGGAAGCGAGAGCCATCCGTACTACAGATACCCAGAAGTAATCAATGTGCAGAGCATGCAATCAAAGTAATGGAGGAAATTTATTCATCATGCAAAAATAAAGACAAATTTCACCTTCGATTCTTTCGGTGCAACAAGCAAGAGCAAGGTCAATGGTTTGAGTCATTGTTGGATTAAAAATTTATTGTATTACATGACTATTACATTCTAAATTTATTTAAATACACAGTAGTACTTATGTCAAAATCAATTTTTCAATAGTTCATTTCATGCTTTTTAGATAAAATTTCATCAAACTACAGTACAGGAGCATGGGGTTGATAAAAAGTCATAACCCTATATATATATATTCATATATATATATATATATATATATATATATATATATATATATAATATATATATATATATATATATATATATATATATATATATATATATATATATATATATATATATATATATATATATATATACATATATATATATATATATAAATAAATATATATATATATATATATATATACATATATATATATATATATATATATATATATATATATATATATATATATATATATATATATATATATATATATATATATATATATATATATATATATATATATATATATATATATATATATATACACACACATTAGTCATTATTTTGAACTGTTATACTCCCAAATCCTGGACCAAATTTTAAAAACTGTCAAACATACATGTACAACAAATAATAGTTGTAACAAAAATATGATCATAAAACCTTTCACCTCACAGCATACTCTGGGTGGCCATTTACCATTTCACCACTTTGGAATGCAACAGGACACAAGGTACCCCATTTGCTGCGCCTCCATCTATATCCAGGTGTAACCAATCCAATACCAGATAAACTTCGTAATATCTCATCACTTTTTTCATCTTGGGAAAATTCTACTAGGTTATCTGCTCCAATAAGTTTTCCAGGAACAAAAACTTGATTTATTGGTTCAAACTCCATTCTTTGAAGTAAACTCTAAAAAAATGTATTTTTCTTTTTAAATACATGAGTAATTAAAAATGAGTATATACAATTTGGTACAATATTATTTATTAAAAAAAAGGTACAATAATTACTTTTTATTAAAATAAATTATTATAACTAATTTTTTTGCAAGAAACAAAATTTTTTTTTGAAACATTTTTATTTTTAAAATTTGTTACTATTGGTACTTTGTTTTGATTTATTACTATTTTTTTTTTCATGACCTAGCTACCAGTACCTACCATGTAAACAAGCTTTAGTGATAAGTTGCCATCAAGTTCAATTAACTTTTGTTGGTCATGCTCTGACATCAAATTCTATATATAAGAATTAAAATACTTTTAAGATTGCAATTATAAACAAATTTAATAAACTATTAAAAAATTAAAAAATATGTAAAAAAAACGTTTAATAAAATGTTTTGTTATTAATTAAAAAAAAAAAAATTAAAGTCAAATGTTGACAACTTTGAAAGTTATATTTAAAGAGGATTTTTCTGATGCAAATTAAATTTTGTATTTGAATAGTAACCAAAGGAGAATACGATGGTAACCAAAGGAGAATACAATGGTAACCAAAGAAGAATACAATGGTAACCATAGGACAATACGATGATGCATTTAAGATATTAACGATGGATGTATAATCAATATTAATAACCTCTAAACACTTAAGAACTCTTTCTTTATAGTTAATCAAGGTATCATTCAAACTTCCAGCAAGCTCCTCATAACGTAACAGCAATCTTAGTACTATGCTTGATTTCTAAGAAAAACAATAATTATCATCATAGTCATTAACATGATCACAATCATCACAATTCTGATTATGATGATCATCATGATCACAGTTATGATTATCATAACCATGATAACCATGATCATCATCATCATACTCACATTAATAATAACAAGATTATTATCCTGGTTATCCTCATCTTTCTGTTCATTGTCTTCATCACCATCTACTTGTCCATTTTCTTCTAAACTTTTTTCTCCAATCGTTGAATTAGAATTATTTTCTATTAAAGCATTGTCATTTTCATCATTGTAAAACTCGGCTGTGTATGAGTCATTTGTTACAGGATCAACTTTCAAGTTGTTGCACCGTTTTAAAAGATCATCATCAGAAATCTTAAAAAATAAAAAATCACAAAAGTAAGATAAATGAGACATAATCAATTTTGGTAAACTTTAAAAGTTTTTAACTAGAAAAAACTTTCTTAAACGTTTAGAAAAATGTTTGTAAAGGTTTTGAATCAGTTAATTTAAGAGTTTTTTAAATATTTAAAGACTAACATGTAAAATGTAAAATAAAAGTTTTAGAAAATAAAGATTATAGTTTGAAAAAATGATTTTAAACTAAACTGTAACGTAGGATAACTAATGTTGTTGTCAAGTATGGTGACTGATTTTGTTGTAAGATAAGGTAACTTATGCAAGCAAAGTCTTGTAATTTAATTTTGTTGCTAAGTCTGGAATCTGACCCAGCAACCTATGTTATTTTTTAAATGTTCAAACTAAATTAATTAAAGATTCAAGTGATATTTTTCTTCTATAAAAAGGCATACAAATTAATACTAGCTTGAAAGTTGTAGATATTTTAAATTGATAACAAGCACATATATTTAAATCATTCACAAATATATACATTTAAACATCAAGTAGATATATTCAAGACGTCCACAAGCACATATATTTGAGGAGTATAAACTTTAAATAAATTTAAATTTAAATTATTCAGGAGGCCTACCCATTTATGTGGCTTTACTCATAACTAAATTACTAACTATGCTATAAAAATATGTGTTTAAGCATTAAACACAGTTTGTGGTCTGTATTTATGCATTAAACCACCCATTTAAAGTATTTATGCATTAAACCACCCATTTTTATATAAATTTGAGAACTTTGATTGACCCCTAAATATTTCTTGTGCATTTTAAAATTTTTTAATTAGAATCAGGCAATCACTAAGACGTATTTTGGAGGGTGAGGTTACTTTTTTTTTAAAAATTTTTTTTTAAAAAAAAGTTTATTTAAAGCATTTCTGCATAAAAAGTATAAAATTTCTTTAGATAAGTGTAACTTTCCTTATGTTAACCAATTAATGAAGGAAAATAAAATCATTAACAATATCATTTCCATTTTAATGAAAGTCTTTAAAATAAGAGGCATTTTATATAGTTTGATGTTAATATGCCTAGATATTAATCTAGGCATATTAACATCAAACTAAATAAAATGCCACCATTACTAGGCATATTAACTGATGTTAATATGCCTAGTAATGGTGAGTTTGATAAAATTTGCTTAAGTTTACACACCAAAAAAGAAATATAAACAAAATTTTGAAGTTATAAAAAACAGATTTTTCGTTTTAATTTGATCAATTAACTTTTGAAAATACAACAACGTGGATAAATAATAGAGAAATTAAAAATCCAGGTAATTAAGTTGGAAGCTGAAGATTTCCCTCAACATACATTGTAGCTTATTAAGTTCTTAATTAGAGACTATGAGTCTAAAACAGGAGAAATTATTAAAAAAAAAAAAACAACTAAAAACAGCACAATTTAAACTTGCATCTGCTTGTGCCAAAAATGCAAAATTGCTAAAAAAAAATTAATAAAAAAAAAAAAAAATTAAAAATCATTGATATGAATTAGAACAGTTGACAATTTGCAAATGTTTTGTTAGCGGTGATAAGGATTTAGTTGCTATTGATTCTTATTTAGACTATGACAACATTAGTTCTAAAAAATTAAACTGGGAATTTAAGTTGGCTAAACCAAAGAATAGTTGATAAAAAATATACTTACATTAAGTTATGGCATGGTAAACCTTATTCTAAATTAATTAGACATGTTGCAGCTAGACAATCTAAACTTGCTTTTATATTCCTTAAACTATTATCTTGTTCAGATTTAGAAATTTATTTGTCTATGTTGCTTTGCAATTCACTATTCTGTGTGAAGTCAATATTTTATTGTTGCAAATAAGTAAGGTTTAGTTATGCAGTTAAGTGTTTCTGATACTGTAAAGCTGAAGAACTTTGTTTCTGATACTATAAAGCTGCAGAACTAATTAAGGATGCCAACAACTGAATTCTAAAGGCTAAGACTTATTCTGTGTAATGTTGGTGCAAGGATTTTCCCATCTGAGCCCAAAATGACAAGAACAAGTAATAAGGGCAATACATGTCAGTAAAAAACATGTTACTGTAAAGTCCATATTGTTTTATCCATTTGCAAATAAAGCACCTTGTTTAGTATTAATAATGATGGTTAAAAATTTGCCAATTTATATTGGAGAGGTTTTTAACTGTCTTCAAATACAGAGCCATCTCAACTTAAACGTTAGTTATAGTGGGTCCTTATTGCTTGGGATAAGGGTAAAAAGTATACAAAATTCCATTTTAAAGTTGTCATTTCTAAATCACCAGGTTCTGTATATGATGTTCATTTATTTTGTATGTATCAAGGTTTAGACTGTCATGAGAAGACAGCGCCTTTGCCTTTATTCTTGAGCATTATGCCAACGACTTTAAATAATTCAGTTGTCAGATTTAAAACTTAAAGGCAAAAATTTTAGGTTTTTCTTAAGTGGAAATTTCGATTTCATTGTAGATGCTCTGGGACACCAGTTTTCAACTGCTAGGTTCCCTAGTTCTACAGACCTACTTGAACTGGATTGAATGCCTCACACACCTGCTAATTGTAACATACAAAGAAAACAATACAATTTCTGGAAAGTGCTTAAAATGAGAACTTCTGTGAAAATAGACATTGTGGAAACTTAAGAGCCCTACGTAAGTTTCATAATTCAATTATTGCTCCTGTAATTTTCATCACTTGGCTTTACCACATAACTTTAGAAAATTTAGTTCCTCCTGTTTTGCATATTGTGTTAGGAATAGTGTATAAGTTAATTGATAAATATTTGAAATTGCATGCTTCATTCAAAAATAGTTGTTAAATAATGTAAAAAAAGATTTGAAAAGCGATAACTATTAACTAACAAACATTGAAACAAGATCTTAAAAGAGTTTATTTAGAAATATGAAAAGTACATAGTTTAAAAATTACAAATGAATATCAAATTTTTTTTTTTTTTAAATTAATTAATTTAAACTATTTCTCTGTTTTAAAAAGGAATTTTAAAAAACAGAACAGATTGTTTCGCTTAATAACCTATTTCTTTTCTTTGTAACAAAATCACTGGCAGTGGAAAAATTTTCTTTGTTTTGTGTTGATGTAGGTTTTATTGTTGACAGTGCATCCCTAAGAGGTTCTAAATTTTTTGTTCAGGAACAAAAAGTTGTTTGAAAAATATTCTTGTCTTATTATTTTACTTATGCTTTTAGTATCCAAAATTTTCTTTAACGGCGTCTTTAATTAATAAGTTTAATTGTTCTTGAACATCAACAAAATCATCGTCATCTCTCTCCGTTTCCAAGCAATTGGATTACAATCTATATAGTATGGCTTATAGATTTTATTCTTTGGTACAGATTTAAAAAAAGAAGAAGCAAGAGCATCTTTGTTGTCAGAACTTGGATTTTGTAAAAATTTATACAGAAATACAATATTGTTATTTCTTCTGATATTGATTTCTTTTATTTTCTGTAAATATTCTTGACTTATTTTAGAATCAACTTCCTTTAACTTCTCCACAAAAAAATTTAAAAAACCCTTCTGCTGTTAATAATGTGGAATCTTCTGCTGTTAATAATGTGGAATCTTCTGCTGTTAATAATGTGGAATCTTCTGCTGTTAATAATGTGGAATCTTCTGCTGTTAATAATGTGGAATCTTCTGCTGTTAATAATGTGGAATCTTCTGCTGTTAATAATGTGGAATCTTCTGCTGTTAATAATGTGGAATCTTCTCAGCTTATACTCTCAACAGTTAAACTAACTGGCACTAAAGCAATTAATAATGTTTTTGCGATATTGACACAATGATCTTTTCATAGATGATTTAAGTTTAGTTCCGATTTTAACAGCATTCTTTATTCTTAAAAATCGTTTTATCAAAATTTCCATTGTATTCCATCTTGTTTTGCAATCCAAAAGTAAGCTTTTAAAAGTAAAGGTTCATTCTCAGTAACATATCTCTGCAATACATCATTTTTATAGAAGATTTTTCAAATTTATTTACAACTCTCTGAATACATTCTGTCTTTAATTGTGTCTTTAATTTAAATTAAATTTAAATCGTGTCTTTAATTGAAGTATTCAATTGCAGCACTTCCTATTCCTGTATATTATTTTCTAAATCAAACTCATTTTCTGAAAAATTATCTTCATCTTCAACATCTTCATCCAAATCATTGGTATAACCATCATTTTTTATCATTGCATTTCTTTTTTTCAGTTTAAAATGCTTTTATAACTGCTAGATGTAAAGCATCATAATAAGATAAATGCAGATAAACAGGAGATAATATTACAAATTTTCGCATAACAGGCGCTCTGTCACTCATAATAGCTGCAATATTTTTGTCTAAGCATAGACTTTAAATTCTCTTTTAATATTTATAGCGCCTTTTCTGCTGTACAACTACCTTCAATATATAACCCAGATTGTACGAATCTTTAGAATTTACATATAAATGAACATCCATGTGGTCTATTCATCAATAGATACACAGAACTTTTTCTGTTCCTTATTTAAATTCTTAATATTTTTTTACTAGCTCCTATTTCTAAATATTATAAAAGTCCATTATTAATTGTTGTACCTCACAGGAATTATATGGTAGCTTAAATTCTCTTGCAGTCATAATATGACATATAAACTCACTTTTAGCTATCTGGTTAAAGGAGAATATACCTACAGCTGCCATTTTAGATATTATTTCTTCCAGAGTTGCCCATTTTATAAATGTTAAAATTGTTTGATTATTTGTACTATTCAATCGTGGTTTCACTTGTTGACAAGATGTTGACGAGGATGATGTGGAACAGTTACTATTGATTTCCACTTATTTTCTTTGAAATTGGTGGACGTTTTGTAGATGTCAGTGTAGGCCAGTAGTTTGTATTCTGAATCACATTCTTTCTTTTTAAAATAGTCCTACACATCTTTAAATATTTTGCTCATTTCTTTTGATAAAAAACTATTTACATA